TAAAAAATGTTGGAAAATGAAAAAAAGTGTAACATCTGATTATTTCCGCCTTCATCTAGCATGGACTTTGGACCGCTTGCTGAGACCACTTGTTTACGAATATCTTTCCGATTAGTTCTGATAACACGTTTGCGCATTCAGCTGATTATGATAGCGCAATCACCTGCTTGAACTTGCCGGTTGTGAGCGGTTGTGGTAACATGAATGTAGACCTCATGCTCTCATCTGTTCAAGACGTGAGGTCTGATACTCTATAAGAGCCGCCCCGCCTGATTTCCGGAGTTGGAACAGAATCTCCAACTACTTCAACTTCTTGGAGAATCTGTTAGGAACTTCTAACCGCTCTCAACCACTCTGATTCTGATTCTGGACACTCGGCCCAGGATGCAGTAGTTATGGTCCCCATGTACAGCGGGACCACGCTGTTGGCTTCCCAGCAGTTATTTTCAAGGTAGATTCTTCAACTAGAACCAGATAAATACAGCGCGAGTGCGAATTTGGCGAATTTGAAGTCGGCAATTGGCAGAACGTCAGAAGCTTATCTGAGACATGCCAAGCCTGCGGAAAGGGATCCTGAGGCCAGGCATGGCTCCAAAAGGCAGGATAGCACTTGGAATGGGTGAGGTCCAAGAGATCATGCTCACTCACTCAGCTGTTCCTAGACCGCTTGTTGAGACCACTTGTTTACGAATTCCTTTGCGAAGGATTACGACTCCACAATTGCCCATTCAGCTGATTATGATAGCGCAATCACCCGCTTGCAGTTGCCGGTTGTGAGCGGTTGTGGTAACGTGACTGCTGCCCCTCATGTTCCCATCTGTTCAACACGTAGGGTCTAATCAGGTCCAATTCTTAGTTTAGAGAGCGGCCATGTTCCCGACGTCGAGGAGCTATGACGGGATCCCCCACCAAATCGACTTGTGAACGATTCTCTCCAGGATTCGCTGACCTGGTTGACCTGTTGGAAAGTTCGGAACTCTCTCACGAATGGGTGCTTGGCAGGAGGTGATGGAAGCATGATTAGCTTCGAGGACGCTCGGCTCATGTTTCCAGGCTACAGTACTTACCGTCCACATAGTGGCGCTACTGCGGTGCTGGCTGCCCAGAAGTCTTCGGAGGGGAGGTTGTTTCAGGAAAACTTAGAAACTGTAGCGCAAGTGCAAGATCGGTGAATGTGAATGGAAGATTGCTTGGAACCCATCTGAAACAGTAGAGATGCCAAGCTTGTCGTCAAAGCTCTTCAGGGCGGTATCGCCCAGGCAGGCAGGACACCAGTTAGGAAAAGCCGTTGGTCCAAGAGATTCTGCTCACACACTCAGAGCTGCCCTCTCTTTTGTACGCTAAGCTTAATGCAGTCCAAATGAACTCACTTCTTAGGTATACACATCGTAAGATAGATGAAAAAACTATTTGAGTTGAGACGGAATCGACCGCCTAGAGGAAGTAAGATAACAAACAGTAGTCACACTCCAATCCTTCTTCTTATACTGATCCTTTCGTTGTTTATGGGAATGATCTCTTGCTGGTGCACTATCAGCATATCTCGCACGTACATAGGGGACTTTCGCATTTCAGAATCACTATTCACGCTGATGGAATGGGCGGAGAGAGAGGGCCCTAGCCTTCACGTTGGTGCACCTCATACCTTGAAAGGGTAAAGAGAGTGGCAGTGGAGAGGCAACAACATTCCTCTTTTGCCGCGCATGCCATCAGCGCGGATTGAGACTTTAAGTCGCTCAGTTAACGTCAGTAGAAGTGGAAGCTGACCGTGTGCCCACAATTGCCTAACCGTACATTTTTAGGCAAGCCTGCGCTTCGAAGATGAAATGTACCCCAAGGATTTCTTGGCATCGGGCGGTAAACGGTTCCGCAACTGCTATCTCAACCTCAGCGGCAGCCGATTGACGAGTGGCCTGTTTCCGGATTCCGCACCGCAGCTATCCTCCAGGTGGCACACTCAACAGGGTCCTGCCCGACATTTCGGCAAATACGATCCCCCACCAGTTTCATCCTCAGCTGCGACTTCCTCCCTCCTTGCATCCTAGCTACTGCCTTGCCTCTCTTTGCCAATTTTTCTAAGCTTCTTACCTTTTTTATCGAAGCTTCCCAAAAACTCCAAAACCTTGCCTTTGGGCGGGAGGGTCAGGAGGCTGGGTGGATAGCACCAGCGAAACGGGAGAAACGGCGAAGACATACGTCAGAGGTAGAGAGCATTGGATTATTTTGGGTTACAGTCTTTAAACGGGGTTGACCAGCTGAACGCCATACCTTTATTTGAACTGTAATGCGAACGGTGTTGCGCAAAAAGCTGGAAAACCGCCTGTGGAAGCGTTCCCTATGAAATGAAGGTCACTTAATAAGCCGGCGCATTGTTAGTCTAGCATGGGAATGCTTCGAAACGTCATTTCCGCTTCCGTCTCCTCTTCTCCAAGGTTATGCCCTTTGGACTTTCCGTTCTCGTGCTGCTCTCGCGTTTATCACAACTGCATTCTTTATCACATTCTGTTCTCTCACGTGACCCTGGCGGATCTCTGACCTCCGTACCGAACCGAGTACTTCATTAACGCTGACACGCCCTTGCCGTAGTTTTCTCTGCTCGAAAATTATCACTGTGTACTTTGCACCACGATCTTTGTAATGCATTCATTATGCTTGGAAAGAAACTCGTACCGGTTTTTGAATAGTTGGGCACTGATAACAAATCAGTTCAGGGCCAATGAACAATTTGAAAACCTAACATTAAACAAATACGGGTGTACACAAATACAGACAAATAGCAGAACATTGAAAATGACTAGTCTCCACAACTGGGAGAATTTAACCAGTTTAGGGCATGAGATCCATGAATTTCCCGTTGATTAGGCGGTAACATGCATTGGGCATAATAGCTTCTGAAAAAACGATCAATAATCGATTGATTATCACCATGATGCTAGTTGAAGCAGAAAGTTTTTATTGCTCTTTCAGGCTGATCCTCCCGGACGAATCCTGGTGCCAATTTACTTGCCCGGCGGGGAGGGGAGGGGGGGTAGAAATTTTGATTGGCCTGGGCGAGAAAAAAACAAACCGGGATTTGACCCCCGGCTGAGCGTGCCACGTGCCACTACACCACCTCCGCCTATAATGTGGCTAAAGGGAAAATGCCGATCCTTTCCCCATCTTCCTTACTTTCCATTGGTGCATTTCTGAGATCGATAATCGATTTATTGGCAATCGATCGTGGGACAGCTCTGAAGACGTAGGAGGGGAGAATCGATTTATTGAGTTTGCCACATAAAGTGCCTAAGATATTATTATGCAAAGGATCACTGTAAACCGATGCGCAACCGCGCGCGTGTAACCTGGACCATCTCAAGTAGTATTAGGAAGGAAACTTCGGGTTATCTCGCGCTCCCTGGGCCCCACTCGGAGCTATGTAGTGGCAAAAAAGGGGG